CACACTGATTATCGCCACCATCCTTTCTGTCCCCATTATCTCTAGTACAGCTATACGTGCTGCTTTTCCTTCCTCGGATACTCTGTTAATTTGGCCTATCATTAGAGCTGCTCTCCCGCCTCACTTCTTCTCCCCCTGCTTTTGCTGGGTATTTCTTCATTCTTCCTATCTTCCTTTTCTGACCATCTCAAACATTCGTCCGCTGTTACTGCGTTTGAGATACTGTTGGCTTCGGACAAATCATGCAGCCCCTACACGAAGTCTGCCGGGGATAAACGCCCCTAGGATTTACGGGTTACAGCGGTGGAAACAGAATATCCCACTAGGAGACAGTTGCGTCCAGCTGAGGAGTCCTAAGTGGGGCGAAATGCGCATTTTGGATTCCACCGGTAATCACTATCCACCTTTCTATAATTGGAACGTTGTTAATGTCGGGGCATCCGCACAGGAGCCCATATGCCAACAGAGACCGATCAATTCGGTCCAGTCAGCGACGATATAATACAAGCAATTATACTAAAACTGGGCTAAAATCAGCAAAGCAAAATATCTTCGAGCAGGCAATGACTAACTTCGAAGGTGTAGATGGGAGAAGCACGAAAACTTCTGCGACATTGAAGTGGCATGAATAAAGAAGACGAGTCGAGCCTCAAGACCTAGAAGCGGGAATTCAAAGGCTACAAGTTTCCTCTGAATGGTTTTCTGCACGTGGTTCTGGAACGTCTGCCCACTGTTTCGTCTCGGACCAGCCATAGCTTCAGGCTCACTTAGGGTGACTGATAAACTACCAGTAGCCGACGATAAGGAGGTATCCGTCCAAACAGCCAACGTGAGGGAGGTTAACTTTCCAAGGGCTGTCAGCAGTGCCCAGTCAAAGGCCACAGGCCCGAGAAGTCCAAAATCGAACAAACGTTTCCCACAGCAAGGTCAACCACATCCGCCGCAGGCTCTAGAGCCATATCAGCGCCGGCTACCAGCAGACAACATAACATAATAAATCCGTCCAAACGTAGCCATGGCAACTAATAATGTAGCCTTTACTGATAAGTCCACCTCCATCATTATGTTCGACGTTCGTATATGCAGTGATAGCCATCTAGAGCATAAGAACACGTTTGACGGGCGGCGTTGGGGCTTCTCCAGTATCATGCTGGGTTTAGGCGCCCCAAGGCAAGATTTTGTCGACTGCCCAGAAGCATACATTCACACCCAGGGAAGCCTCCGCCAGTGCCAGTAACTCTAGGTTCAATTGGGGAATCCAAATGGTCCCTCTCACTGCCACACACCGTGGTCCTCAACAGATCATCCAGCATAAGGGGCAGATTTGACCTATCATGGTCGTCGAGAAAGACATCTCGAGAGGTAGCTGATCCACGAAGACCCACAACCGTTGTCATGCGTCGCATATTTAAACCGACAGCCGGTACCCTAGGTGGTAGGTACATCCATGATGTCCAACAACGGAAGTGGTTATCAGCTCAGATGGGGTCAACTGGCGTCGCAGCAGCTGCGATTGGCAGGATGCCATTTCCCTCGCTCCTGGCAACCATGGCCCCAACCCTAAATAGCAAGAAATTCCAACGACGGTGCTAGGGCTGTGGTGTGAGGTCAACAGCACCTTTAGCGGATATGTTCGCTGCTGTGAAAGCATGCCAAGAACACTGCGACAGCAGCCAACAACGGTTATCTTCCGTGCCTAGGTCGCCAACACCCACACCGACGCGCTGATGGTCAGACCGGCAATCTCCACCCAGCACCGACTGCATCAATCCGCCTAGGAAAAAACTAAACTGGTCCAGTTCTGGGACTGGCCAGTCAGCAAAAATTACCAGCATACGCAAACCTGCGCTTCCAGTCAACCTAGAGACATCTCACGTCACGAGAAGCACTTCCAAGTTTCTTTACAGTAACGTGATAGGACTCCGAAGTAAGATGCCACATTTCCGAACCCTCTGTTCGCACCTTGTCCCAAACGTCACAATCCCGACGGAAGCATGGTTATCACTGGATATTGGTGGCACCGAAGTTAACTCAGATCGCATGTTTCTGTTCAGGAAGAACGCAGAATGCAGGGATGGGGTGCATAATTTAACACACACTGACACTGTACTGACAGAACTCCCAGGCGCTATCTGGTACACTTCACGGTCAAACATAACAAGTAACTGGTTGAAGGACTCTATGGGCACCCTGAAAGCAACTTGGAACACAACTAAAAATTACTCCAGCTAATACCCACGGTGTCGATCCAGATCCTAATGGCTAGCAGCTTCAACGCTCCAACCCTAAGCCTAGAGCAAGATGACACAACTCCTAGCTGGACGCTCGTTTGTAACTTGCTAAAGGCCACCCAAATTGCTGCAGTGTACAAAAAAATTGGCGACAACACCCGTCGAGGGTTGGTTAACCACCTAAACTGGATTACCCACTGGCTAGTGACCACCTTCTGGTTGAAAATGTCTAGATCCCAACTCTTCTTGGAGGCAGCAATCATGCTATGGTAGTGTTCAACCTGGTAGTCAGAGAACGATTATCGTGGGAGGGACCTCGCCCTTATCTCCGTTACAACAGAGCAAGCTATGAAGCAATGAACCAGTGCCTATTGAGAGCTCCATGGGGAGCGGATTGGTGCCCCTTATCAGTTGCCCAACACTGGGGACTGGTAAGAGACATGATTAGGGTGGAGGCCTCGCAAAGCACCCCGATGGTGGTAACAAAACTCAGAATGTGGACCTCGTGGCTAAAACGCGGCAGTGAGCGCCCCCTAAAAGCCGAGAGAAGGGCGTCGCAAAAATAGACTCCCCAGAGAGGAGGACGATGAGGACTCATATAGGGTCCTGCGAAATGGAAGCAACATCAGGGTGTGGTGAGACAGGAGGTCTTTCCACTCTAACCTCGTCAGGAAGCTTCAGGTAAACCCCAGGGACCCATACCGATTCATTGTGAAGAGAAAATTCTTTAGGCCGAGGAGCACACATCGTCAAGTGTCCGAATGGAGAAAATCTGTCTGAACAGCAGGAAGCCCAACTGATGAGTCCCACCTGTGACACAGCTCAACATTCCATCACGTAAGCGCGCACACCTACTGCCCGAATAGCCCCCCAACGTTATCCGACGCAGCAGTTGCACGAGATGCAAATAACTCGTGCCATTGTCCTCGATGCCAGGCCAGGGAGAATCTCCTGAGTGCATCGACATTCACCCATTTATGCTGAAACAATGTATGAGTCCCCTAAGTGGCACACTCTCTCCTACAACGCTCCTTGGACTAACAAAGAACCCGATGGGAGTGAAAATGGGCCATCCTCTTTCCTATTTTTGAAGGAGGAGACAGGAAGAACCCGAACTGTAACAGGCCAATAGCATTTTTATCGGTAATATCAAAAGTTATGGAAAGCACGACGACTACCACATCAGAGGATATCTAGACACATAACAAGCCCTCAGGGATGCCCAGCGTGGACTCCTAAAAATAGATCCTATACCTTTAAACTTCTGACGGCCCATGACCATTGGACAGCATGCTGGGACCTGAACGTCCCGGTTCATGAAATTTTTCTGGAATTGGCTGAGGCCTTTGGCATAGTCTCGTGCACCACTTTAGTGCGAAAAATAGCTGGGTTAGATATCTACGGTCAGACACTATCGTGGCTGCAGAACAGCCTAGGTAGTAAGGAGTTCTGCACGAAGGTCTACTCAACTTGGAGAACATCATTATCCGGCGTACCGAAAAGAGGAATCCTAGGTTCTTTGTTGTTTCTTTTACCGCGAACGACCTTAATCCGCATGCCAGCTCTCTGGTGCTCCTCTACGCTGGCGTGGTCAATTCGTATGAGGCAGTGACGTGGAAAAAGGAATCGAGTACACTTCAGTGCGACCTAGAAATAATCGTGGACTGGGAGAAAAATAACGAATTGGACCCACTCCGGGGCTCTTTCCGAAACCCCGAGACTTATATGTTACCCTAATCGGAGGTCCACAGCGTCTTGGCCCCATCATATCTGAAAAGAAACACGGTCTGCCCGGGGAAAGTTCAGAGGCGGGCTGCTGCGTCACACAAAAAACCACAAAAAGACAGACCAAAAAACCTAGGCCTATACCGTCCTAGTTAGCAAGGGTTAAGAGGTGATTTGACAATGCCGTACAAAATCCTGAATAGCCCAAGTCACCTGTAAAGAGCAATACTACTGATGGTGATGCTCGTGGAAACCCTAGGCAAGCTGCCCACCAAAAACTCATGTGCGTCCACATTTCTCATGCTCTAGATTCCTCGTGCACTGCAATGCATTACCAGGAGAGGTGGCCTCCGTCCTATCTATTGAAAGTTTCAGGAAAAGGCTAGATAGTTACACAAGCTCACGGTTGATGCTCATCTTATTGGAATACGAACTAGACCGAAGAAATCCTCTGCTTTCACTCAAGCTGTTTTCATCCTTCTTATTCTCTATGAATTAACCTCATCCACCTAAGTTCTATACGTCTTTGCACCCCCTGGTCTTACTTCACCAACACAATTTTCTTTGTCTTTTACTCACACGCATTTGTCTTCCTAGGTTATATCTTCACCATCTCCATCTCTCTGTAGCAAACAGTCCGAACACCTCTCTGACGCCATCTGACGAATCCAGGTGAACCACAGTCTCAGGCAAACTAACCAACATTCCTCTTCTGTACACCAAAGCTATAATGGACGAGTGGCCGGATCTACTGCATCAGAACCTGCCAAAAACCAGGAAACATTCGCAAGACCAAGAAGCGAGAATGAAGAGGTTCATTGGTTAACAAAAGTTCGTTAAACAAATATTAAATATTGTTACTCACAGTATTGATGCCGAATATTTAAACTACTTTCCTGTACCAAAAAAACTCTGTCTTTCAGCTATAATCTAGTTTTGGTTTCTTGTCCAAAGTCAAGTACATTTTCAAGGTCAGGTCAATGTCTTGTTAAATTCACAATATTATTGCCACAACTTTGTTTTAGTACTTTGATATAGTTGACACCAATTTCGAGGTAATACAAGTCGTTACTAGGCTTTCATGAAGGCTTTTAAGTTAGTTTGATTTATAAATCCAGTTTACTTTAAAACTGTTGCAAGCACTTCTTGAATTTAATATCATCCCGTCTTGAAAGATGTGGTCACAGTTGTGGGACGTGTAGTTGCACGCTGTCTGATCTTATGGACATCTGCTGTGTAATCACGTGACAGAATGGCTATTATCCTGTTCAAAAGACTTTTCTGAAAGATCAGATCTGGTTTTAACTGTTGTCTTGGTTTATTTTAACAGGAATTAGTTCCTGTTACTTACCTTTAAAAGTCAGTCTCATGATTTGCCCCATCAATTTTCTGGTTTAAGGTTTCTGTGCTGTTGCCTCAATATTTTTATTCTCCTTTATTAGTAGTAGTTTCGTTAGGGTGGCCAAATGAATACGTGCTCCGATAAGAACATCCAGTCATCTTTGCAAGCTGCTATGCCATGTGATATATCCTACCTAAAATCCGTTTAAATTTCTCAACAAAGAATCATTTGCGCATTCTTAGCCAACAAACTGACGCTTGTTATTCCCTAATTCCTGCCTGAGTGGGTGTTACTATTATGCATGTGTGGGTGTGATACTAATGGAATATTCTGCTTACTGATATCGGTAAAGCTTACTCTAAGTTATAATACAAACTTTGAAGCTCATATATGAACTATTTGACTACGGAAATGTTGCGATTTTTCAGATGGCATGTTACAAGCGAGCACCATTGTCACCAGTCTCTTTGAGTCATGTCTCAAGCTGCTAGTACCTAATAACGCTTCAGGAGATGTGATAGTTCTAAGTGAGAAGGCTACTCCTAATTCGATTGGACGCCTGCTAACGGAAAGGAAGATAGTTGACTTTTACTTCAGTTAGTTTCAAGGAATTGAAACATTCAAAGCCTATACAGTCCACTTTCTAGCCTAAAAAACAATGGATTGGAGCAGTCAGGTATAATCTGTAAGTAAATAGGAGGGAATTGAAAAAAAATACCTACTCCTGTCATGGAATTGTCCTAGGTTCACAATTCCAGTAACACCGGAGATAAACATTTTGTAGCTATTATAGTGCAAGAAATTATATTATTATCTGGGACTTCCCTATAGTCCTCTTAAGCTTAACGAACTGTCCTGAGCTTCCATATAGTCTTCAAGACGAGAGTTAGAGAAGACCATCCGCTAATATTTGTTTTCATTTGAGACTTAAACCAATGAAGCTAATCTCAATAGCTAGATTGTCCCGTGGTTCGATTTTAACCCCTACGAGGAAATCAAAACTTCTGAGACTGAATTTCTTCAACTTTGATGATTCTGAATTTGTTATTCTGATATCCTAGTCAATTAATGTCAAAGAGGAGATGAAAGTTCTGCTAGAAATTCCCCATTCTGAACTCATCTTACAAGCGAGCATCAAGAAGCCTATTTTAGGAGTCGTTATTCGGTATTCCAAGAAGTGTCGGTAAAAAGAGAGTCCGTGGAATCTCACAAAGACAACTACTAGTGGAAATTTCCAAGAATGCCTAAGAGCCTAAAATATATGGCTTTAAAAATAATATCACATGTGGCTAAAAGGTTGGTGACTCGAGATCTCATCCATCATCCATTCATCCAAACCACTATAGGACCAGACATCACTGCATAACGGTCCGAGTTGCCACAGCTTACATCAGTACATCAAGTAAAAGGGCAGTGGAGTGGAAGATGAAGAAAAGAAAATTCAGTCAACAAAAGTTTAAAGTACGGAAAGAGAGAAAGGAAGAATGAGGAAATGGTGTAGTTAGGTATAGTGTCGTTAACACCAAGATAATGCTTGTATACATGCGCCCCACTAACATCGGTTCTGAGCCATATCACCTAGAGTTTCTTACCACTGGTTTCTCTTGTCCCGCGGACCCCAACCAACTAGTTTGCATCGCCCCACATGGCTCGAACCAACCGTCAAAGATTATAGACACTGATGCTGTGTTTTAGTCTGACCGCCTTGACCCTTTTTCCAGTCTGAACCTACTTCGGCCAGTATTGTGTGATGAGGCAGATGGCAACTGGGTAAACGCAACATGTCCCAACCATCTCAGTCGATGAAGGGTCATAGCAATATCAACTGACGTACCTTTTCCCCCTAGAACTCTACTCCTGACTTCTTCGGTTCTCACGTAGTGACACCACGGAACACGGCCTATATAACGAAGGCAACGGTGGTCAAACACCTGAGGCCTTCTCATGTCTTCAACCTTCAATGGCCATATTATGCAGCCAAACAGTAGAACAGAGCGGACTGCAGCAAACTGCACTGGAATGTCAGTAGACAATTAAATTTCGTGTCTGCGCCACAGGTGGAGTACTCTGGCAAAAGTCCACCGAGCCTTTTGTATCCATACGCAGGTTTCGTCGGCCACTGAGCCATCAGGGCTGATCTGACTTCCCAGTTATGTGAAGTGTTCACCGCATTCAATCACTTCACTGTATATTGTTAGCCAGGGCACCATTGAAGATCAATCCTTGTACAACAGTATGTATTTGAGTGGTGAGAAACGCATCCCGAACATTCCGAAATTACCACTCAAGATGTTCAGAAGGCTATATCTTATCAGCGTCTTAATCTAACAGGACTATGTCATTGAAGTATTCTAGGTCTACCAAAAATTCTTCTATGATTGGGTTAATCCCTGTGTGGTCAGATGACGGGAGAAAGTTCTCCATAAGAATGTCTACGATAGAATTGAATAAGACCGGGGAGAGTGGGTATCGTTGACGGACGCCAATCAACGCATATAGCTCACCCGGCATCTCATCACATGCTCTAAAACGGCCACAGGTGTTCGCATGAAGAGCTTTCAATAAATTGATGTACTTACTTTGTACCCTTTTCAGTGAGAGATATTGTCGTAAGACTCCTCGACTGACTGAGTCAGATGCCGCCTTCAGGTCAGGAAACACAGCTGTTGTCGGGCGTTGGCAAGCGTGCCTGTGTTCCAGAACCTGGCGCAATGTGAATAGACCCGTGGCCAGGTCTAAAGCCTGCCTGATTTTCGCAGTTGGCATCATCTTCCAACAGGTGTATATATGCACCCAGATAAGTCGCAAAATCAGGGGCTCCAAAAGAATCAAAAAAAGTGGGAACCAGTCGTTTCTTTGATAGATTGCTGACCAGCTCGCAATATATAATTTAAATCTTCCACACGACACACTGGATGCCAATAAAATGCCAGTACCTACATTTAAAGTAGGGATCATGAATGGAATCTACGCAAACGAGTTGAGTTTTACACCGAAAAATTGGTCTACATGAATCGAGTACTATGCTGAAGGCTTATCTTATTAGTATTACCGATAAATAGACTACCCCCATCCCAAATCTAGAACCGGCTGTCTCAAATTTCATGTTATTTTTACATGACAACATGAATAGAAAATAAGGTTGAGCGGCTCTCTACACTTTTTCTTTTCTTGGAGCTCATCAGGTTAGTAACCAAGAATTTGACTGTCTAGGAGAATCAATGTGGTGTTCTATAAAACAATTCAAATACCACAGGGTGCCTACAAAAGGCGATGTGAAGGTAGCCAATTGCGGATTTTCGTCACTACAGTTGTGTGTTAGATGCTTTATAGGAATTGAACACATAAATATTTAGATTTTAGGTGGTTTCAATAGTCCTAAAGACAACTTCGTAGAAGACACATACAATGAAAGCCATAAGCCGCCTGAAGCTAGATTCTGTGATCTTGCTTAAAAGCTAAGACTAGCCGAAAACGTGAAATCAGCAATTCAGTAGAAAAGAGACCGTACTCTTTCTTTCTTCATCTGTATTCTTACAAATAAGGAATTATTGACTGTTTTGTCATCGGGTTTGAATAAGTCTTCAAAACGGAACTGACTCTTCCCATCAGCTAATATCACTAGAGCATCAGATGACTTGAAGCTTTAGGCCTTCAGAAAGCTTATTAACAGATAGATTTTGAAGCTTACCGTGAATGGTAAGATGTAAATAGCTATTGGATGCTCACACTTGACAAAACAACGTTTGCTGTAAGACACTCTGTTACATTTTCTCCAAAAATCCTATTCAACCCAAGTTAATAGGCAATCACACAGTCAAGGCTTTGATCTAAAGGCGACACAACTGAGCTAAGTATAGGAGAAACAGCTGTCACTCTACCTACGGAAATTTCAAAATATTGAGAAATATTTACACTAAGGTCTTAGAAGATTATAGACAGCAATACCAATCCCAGTTTACTAACATGTTTACATCAGATCCAGAAAACTTTTACCTTAGAGTAGTATCACGTTGCCAGGCTAGAGCAGGGTTTTTCCACTTGATGGGTTCATGTAGACCCACTGGTAGTGTTACTAACGTGGCAAATGATTTGCTTGGTCAGTATTTATGGACTTTTATGTCATTGACAGCATCTAAAAATATTGATAGGTGATCAGAAGAAATAGGGCAACAGTCAAGTACTGATTTGAGTATCATCAAGGTACATCGTTGAGTGATCTTAAGAAAGGATACGTTTGGGATTACAACTAAAACCTATGCTGCTCTTTTTTGTGAAGGGCTGGTACTTCTCGGTGAACCCTTAGTAGTTTATCTACATATTCCCTTAACAAGGTGTAGTGCAAGGACTTTGAAAGTTAGGTCATGGTACACTTGTCTTATGGACTGTCAACTTAACAAGCCAAAGAAATGTAAGACTGAGATTCTTTAATCCACACAATCTAATATGAAAGAAATCACTAGATTATGATGGTTTACCCGACTGCTTGATATCCATTAGCTTTTTTAACCATATCAGCATGGTTTTAGATGGGAATATTCACGTATTACTCATTCATAAACGCAATCGATAACTGGGTTAGCATTACTCACCGGGATAGAAAATATGCAATATATATAGATTTTTACAAGGCATGTGGTCGCTTCAGCCATAGTTATCTCATCTACAAGTTGAGATTAATGCGAATCAATTCATGAACAACCGACTGGCTTTCATTATATATAAGTGACCGTCACTTCAAGGTCCGTCGGAGTTCTACTATGTACAAAAAGCAAGATGCTCTAATGGGGACCCTCAGAGTTTTTTAGTGTTTCTTTTGTTCCAAGTTTGCAAAAACAACAAGCTTTTGTACTTCTTCTGACGTTTTTTTTCTAATAATATAAAGCTATGGATAGAAATCAGAGAAGAAAACAATAAGTTCACTTTGGAGGCTGAACTGACCTATTTTCAACTTTGAGCAGATTACAGATTGCCACCAACCACATGACGCTTTTAAAAGTCCTATGCATTATATAGTCAAATATTTACTACAAATATGGCAGACTATGAAACTTACTTATATTGAAAGCCGAGAAAAATAAGGTTTTAGAGTTTGTCTTCGAAAAGTAAAGTGGGCGTTAAAGACATGCAGCTGATTTCGGATTTGAACATCTGACGCGCATACAGTCGTTATTATGAATAAAATTTTGGTAAATGTTTTCCAGTTTTCATTTCTGTAAGGGCATGCAAGGTGAAATTTTATATTTAAACTCGAAGGCTCGAGGATATGGTGAAATGGGTTCAGTAATGTTAAAAGCTGACTAGAAATTCGAGCAGTCATATTTGTGTTAACTCCCCAGAATTCCATTTTTTGTTCACAAATAAGCTTTTTGGTGTTAAAAACTAAAGTTCCCTTTTAATTTACAAATATTGTTTTCTGAATTCAGTTGGGTTCTTTGTTTATAGTTTCTACACTCAAACAAGCATGACATAACTATGAGATATAGGTCAGATCCCATCTTTTCTTACTAATGCTCAGACTTAAGCAATACACATGCAATAAAATAAGCGTGTGTTTGAAACGGTTAGAAGACTGTTCTTTTGCTTTTGTCTAGGATAATTTTTATGCATTTTTGAGCAATTTTACATGAGATAGTATTTTATGTGCACCTATGACATCGGGAATTAATTGTAATTTATTGGTGGAAGGTAGCCTTATGTTGTACATAAACTGCTTGAACTTTTTCATAGCAGTCACAACGGTAATTTCGAGGTTTATTCCCGTCACTTGTTCGTAGGACAGACTAGGTTTTTGTATTCACAGATGGTTTTGGTTCGGAGGTAGTGATCAAGGAAAATGTAACTAATTACTTATTTCTAGTTATCTGTTGCAAGCAGACCCTCAAAGTGTTGGAGTGACGTAGGGATTGTCATGTGTTTGAATGTTATTGGGCAAATTGTTATGGTTTCCTATTCAATTGGTCCAAGTTTATTTCTTTGTTTATTAGTTTAATTCGATACTACCCCTTTTGCTCTGCAAGTGTTTCACATCTAACATTGGTCAACAGTAAATTATTTAATTTCTCTCAGACATCCATTTCATGACATCTTTCAACAACTAATCTATATTCACTCAAATTTAAGTTGATCGTTTTAGTCTTACTGTTTACAATGATAACAGAATATAACGAATGCAACTTACAATCTTCACGATATTCAAATTATTAGTTCCATGTACATAGGTTGTGTTAAGTCTTCCGTTTTGACTGGAAAATCTACTTAAACTGTAAAGATCAAGCAGTGATTTTGATAGGGCTGTTAAAATCAGAAAAGATCTTCTCTTATATATCATGAATTTACTATAGTTGTCAGCTCTTTCTTGCTCCTTTGAAACCACTAAGTTCAACTTCATTTTATTTTAGGGCTAAATAAAAGTATACATGGTTGTTGCCATTGTTGGGTATAGGAGTTTCCATGGGGACCGAAGATGCTACTGAACAGCAGTATCCTATCACCTAGGTTGTTGACCACCTTAGAAACTTTATTGATGGAAATTGATCATCGATCATTATATGTGACACCTGAGATACACTGGTTACCAATGCGTTTACACGTTGAAGTTTGAAACAAGTATAACGTTGAAATTTATCACTTGATTCGCTTATACTAGAAAGCTGTATGCATTTCAACTAGAGGTCAAATGATGTCTAATAGTCATAATGTTTGAGTTGTCTCGTCTGGAGTATCTGTAGGATTAGAGATAGCCTCATCCTTAAAAATACTCAGTATTTCTTAAACACATTTTAGTTGACATACTACATTATCGTTTCAGCGTTTCAGAGGTATTCAGGTATATTCTGTGAATGCTTCTGAAGAATCAAATAAACTAAGACTCCCTTAATTGGTTATTTCTAATATTATATTACTGTTCATCAATCATCCAATTTTACGCTCATAATGTTGCAAAACTAGACGGCTTCTAAGCTTAACATATCCTTTTTGTTTGAAGTTACTGGTAATACGAAAAACTAAAATTTGTATATAGTTTCTAGAAGAAATCATGTCCTAAATAAATATGATCAGTTTATATGAACAGTTTTCAATTTTTCCAGAAAATGAGACGTTTTAAACATACCTAAGCTTTATTGCTGTTTGATACTTTTAATTTCCCGTTGCTATTAAGGGTCCAATTGCTCGATCTCTGTTGATAGACGTTGATGCCTTGATACTACCGAATATTGATGATGTTGTATTCATCATTGGTAACTCACAGTGGAATCCAGGACACGCGTTTCATCTTATTTGGGTATCAGTTGATGTTTGATAAGTGTTATTTCCCGCTGCTGTACCCATTGCACAAGCTGTGACTAAAGTCCCCCAGTGGACTAGTGGATGACGACTTGGCGATTGGACCGATGGGTACTGGGTTTGAGTCTCAGTGGGAACGAAACTCGATGAGTTGCAGGTGCATTCGGCTGACGAGCACCAGATAGGCCGAAGCGCGAATCCTAGATTCTGCTGCCAGTCACTGCCCCACATATACCATTTTTACGGTATAACTAGTAGTTTATTTTCCGCTCCCATTTTAATGTAATTCGCCGGTTGGCTAATCTTTACTCTTTCTATGCAAATGTCTCAAATTTCGGACAAGGTCATATTTCATGTGTATACATATTCACGTGTTTTGGGATTGATTGATTATTATATTCTTGGAGAAATAAATTCTCCCATCATCCAACTTCGGTCTTCTCTCTATTCGTTCCGGGTTGCAGTCGGTGGGTCTTGCGTATTAAGTTAGCTGTCAGATAAGCTTGCGTATTATATCCATTCAGAATGTATAATAGTTGGTGACGAAATATAACATTCACCAAGAGGAATGTAATACTTAAGGTCTTATTGAATATCATATTGTACTGCCAATGCTAAACGTTTTGATTGTCTAACCCTTCCACACATTTCAGAAAAAAAGTGTTTCTTACATGTAAGATTGCTTTAAATATCTCTACTGTGTTCGTCATTTAGTTTCAGTTCTCCAAAAGTGTTTTTAGTTTTACCAGTTGTTGGAACGGATTTCCACTCAGCTCAAGTTTATTAAATTAATTGCCATTATTATCTACTGGATAGTTCAGTTCAAAAAGCTATGTAGGTGTGTCCTTCTTTTTTATGAGATTAAAAAGATCCAAGTTGTATTTTCATAATTTTAAATTTTTGGTAAGTTTTTAAATAAAAAGTAAAAAGGTTTCATACAGAACTAATTGATTTCCTCACCGACTTTTTATGTAGCTGTTTATTAGTCGATGATGCAGAAGTTACATACTTGTACTCAAGGAGTTTAAATGGTAACATGCAATGGTCTTGGTTTTTTGCATAACAGCCCTTGATTTTCTGGTTTTAGTGACATTTTATGTAACGTTTTGAAGCATAGATTTCACAAGAACACTTTGAAATGGATCCTATGTACTTAGGTCTGTCAAGATACTACAACCGCGATTTCCAAGGTTGTAGTGAAATTTGTACAGAACTGCTCAAAGTTAAGCCAAACAATGAAGTGAGTATAAAATAAATTTATCTGCTTTTCTTATGTTGGCATGTTGGCTTTTGAATATGAAAGCGGTTACAGAGGATCTGTTTGCGGATGATGAGATATATTCCGAAATCAACCTGTCAGATTTCGCATTCTGTGAACAAATTGCAAGCAACGTTGAAACTTCTTATTTTTCATCAAAAAATTCTAGACAACCTACAAGCGGTTTAACCCAGGCTGTTCGGTGAGTGATAAATATAATTGTTTACAGACCATTTGAATTCAGTCCACAAAAAATAACTAATCGACCACTAACGGGCGTTTATAATTTAGAATGTATTGAAAAATCTGAAGGTTCAATTGCAGGAATTGTTAGTGGGATATCAAGACCCATAACTACCTATTACAAAAGAGGTCAAAGAAAAGGAACTGTGAGTATTTTGTTTCCCGTATTCTTATGCTCCAATCATATATCTTTCAAATATTTTACCCAAATCATTTCTCATTTTAGGTGAGTATAACAGTGTTAAATGTACTGTACTGTCTAAATGTTTAAAGTCACACCAATCTGAAATATAGGCACTATGTTAACAGATTCTGATCTGTGGTGTGAATTTTTTTCTGGAAGTGCAAACTCAAACCATAAAGTGAGTCTTAAGTACTTAAGTGTCGTATGAATTCCTTGTGCCATGAACATTAGATTTATCTTTAATATCGCATTAATGTGAAAATCTCAAAAAAGCCCCGCAAAATTTCAAACCTCATCTTGTGGGGTTTCTGAATGTTTAAAGCATTCTTTAAAAAATATTAATTGATGTGTGCCTGGAAACAAAAGAAACATTAATTAGCTACTTCAAGAAGTCTACCACAATCAAAAATCTCATGGTGCATTAATGCAAAAGCTTTGGTATGAACGATGTTTTACTCGTCAACTGCATAGTCCTTCTGCTGAGTGGTAGAAGATGTAGTAAAGTAAGAGGTGACGAACAGAAATCAATGTACTGAAGTCGATAAACCAACGAACTCTATGGTTGTGAAGAAATGAAGTCAATGCGAACTATACTACCTGCTAATAGTAAGTAGCATAAAACTTAAGGAAAATATTAACAAGATGGAATTGATTGAAGTGGAACATGAAAAAGATTTAACATGGTGTATATTCAGAAGAATACTTGAGACGAAAATGAAATAACTTTATCACTGTCATCTGAATGCCTAAAAGACTTTGTAAGAATGCTGTTTCAATTTATTGGAAAGAAATATTTACATTGTCAATAGGAGTATGATCAAAAATAAATGTCCCAGTTATGTGCTTACGGCTTGATAAGCCTTACATAAAATGCCTGGTTTAACTGGTATTCAAAAGTTGATATATCTTATGTCAAAATGTTAAGTCAAAAGGTACATTTGTCTAATTAGAAATAAAAGTTTAATCATTAGATCAGCTTGTATATTTGCACATTTTTGAAATTTAAACAGTTTAGAATGACCATGTTGATATCTAATCCCTTTTTACTGTATTTTATACACATAATGATTCCAGTTTTTTAGAAGTTCAGTTTCACTGCATTATACGGTTTTCGGATGGAGAAGAAAATGTTTACTTCTTGAAAAGTAAATGTCCTTCACTTTTTTTGAACATGATTATGAATATTACGTGTTATAAGCATTAGCAGATAAGCAACGTGTACTGTACCGTTAGTTCAAATAGTTTTACGGTGATAACTATATAGATTAGAGCACAAACGTATATATATATATATATATATATATATATATATTCATGTGTAATATTTTAATTTTATTGTCAGTCTTGTTTGAAGTCAAATAGCTCAAAGAATAATGAACCTCTTCACGTGACGCGTTTGGATCTAGAGAAATATGCTCAACACTCAGAAATTGCTTGTTCAGTATTCGAATATTTATTCTACATTGCGAAAGAATATCGTGAAGCACTCAATTTAGTCAACGTAGTGTGTAATAATACTACTAATAATACCAGTAAGAGTCATCAACAAATAATCAGCGAGTACTTATCGGTTAATGGTAATTCCGAACGAAAGTTGAACTTTATGAGTCAGTTATCCCGTAATGAGCCTGCTGACATAAATTGGTGGTGGTTGCTGCAAAAAGCACGTTGTTTATACTGGTGAGTTACGAAATTGCCTGTTTTTACTATAAATTAAAAATCTTAAAATATCCAATTTGAGGATATTATGGGAGGGGAAAATAATAACTGGAGGATAATATTTAGAAGATGAAGACGTTTCAATGGAGTGATTAGACAGGACTTTTAATCTGCTGAAAAACATCATTCAACAATTTCGAATGAGAAGTAAGCATTTTCCGGATGAGTTCTTGGCAGTCACCGTGTTAAAGTAGTCTGCTTAACTCTGCAACAATTTTATGTGAGTTGTTTAGTCGGAAGAAGGAAACTGATGGTTTGCACATGTCATCCGATAGTGTCTGAGTTATGGTTGTGGTTGCTGTTTAAAAGTAGTAAAAACGAATAGGATTTAATACCTGACAATAGTTATACAACAATAAAGTTCTGCTATTTCGTTTGATGGTTTTGTTGACATGAATGCGTAGAGTAACTTAATATATGTAATTTTTAACAACTCAAATTGCAAAAACTTTTGAAGATGGTTTAGAAAGCACGCCACATTGTACAACGAACCTAGAAATCAGGGTTAACAATCAAACCGCCATATTCAACATCAGAACAGGAATTCATATTCTAGACTACAGTCATGCTTATTCGAAAAAACAGAGGTGACAAGGTACAAATGATTTAAAAAAACATATTGCTTATTTCTGTCGAAAGCAAATGCAACAGGATGAAAACGTCAAGGATTCCTATTGTTAAAGTTAAAACTGAGTGTTGTTTTTGATCAAATCTCCTTTTGCTTTAATCTAGTTTCCATAGTTTTACTTATATATAAAACATAAAATCAATCATAGTGATGTTCGAGACTGTAACAAGGCAGTGAAACGTGCAAATACTAACTATCAAGATAGCGATGTTAATGTTTATCCCAGTAATTATATGAATAATGAATAATATGAATAACAGCATTGTACTGCAAATATTTAAGCAACCGAAACTTGGATGTTAATAATCTACGGCCTTACCCATTACTATTATGCAAATAATATTTCTCTAAGCAAACGTCCAGGAGCTTACTGAGCGCTTTGGAAATATGCTATCTTGGTAGCAAGTAAGCCAGATATGGGAGCAGGGGTATTGTTAGTAGACAAAAGTGATTGCACTGACAAGAAGAATCCCCCCTAAACTACCAAACAAAGTTCTAAAAAGTTTATGACTCCAGAGATCTAGACAGGAAACCTGAGACGCGATCAACAACGAACTAAAACGAAGGCATACAATTTCAACTTTTATACATGATACACTTAAGTTCAAAGAGTGCTACAAGTCAAAGTCATATGGCCTACTTAAAATTCATGAACCGCAAATTTCTCTTCTTCTGGCATTAGGGATATCCGATTCCCAATACCACGAAACGTTAAGTGCTTAGTTGGCGTGCCAGAACCCGTACACAAACAAGTTGTGAAGAGTAGTGTTGAAGATGTGTTCGACCTCATTTCTCAGATATAAATGGAGATGAGTGGGAAAAATATGATATCTTTAGTTGTTTATTCATCAGTGTACCAATTATTAAAAAAGTAGAATTTAATCGTCAACAGGTGTTGGAAACATAGATTATTGTCGTACTTCCAGAGCTCAGTTTTATTTAATTACTCCTCTTATTTGCCATAACTGTACATTTTCTATTAAAGAATACATTCGACACAGAAATTCGTAGAATCTCCATTGGTCACCATTGGACTCAATATTAGCGGATGCCTTTTCCATAAACTGGAAAATGGACCAATAACAGCCGCCATCTATAATCTGGATACATACAAGCACTATACGGATGACGGATTTATTATCCCTAATGAGTGTCAATGGAGAAGAGTTTGTAGGAAAATTTAATGATGTTCATATTTTAATCAGTACTTACTTCTAGTGTTATTGCTTGTATTACACCGTCGTTGATAGGACCGAATTGATCAGCCTCTGTTGGCATATGGGTTCCTATGCGGATGCCTCGATATGGCCTGTCTTTTAACTATGTTTAGTAATGATGGGCAGTAGCTAGCAGTGGAATCCAGGATATGCATCCTGGATTCCACTGCTAGCCATTGCCCATCATTACTAAACATAGTACTTACTTCTTCTTAAAATTGTCCATATCCGGTAAAAGAGAAGCCTAGTTAAGTATCTTGCAAATAGATACAGAAGGATCTGGTCCTACGGTTTGACACAAAGGAACTAGAATATATTTATAATATGGTGATAGAAGTGGATTGCCAATAATAATGATAAAAGATATGGACGATAGTAGTGAGATTCAAACAAGTGACGGTTTAGACCAAGTCACTATTTATGAAGCTGCAACTGGATCAAAATGCACAGTGAGACCCTTTTTACTTGAAGCTCGCCACAGCCACCAGAATGACTCTTTACACTGTCAACCTTTTCTTATCGTCTTTTAGTAGGTTGATAATTTTTACTGACAATAAAAACAAGCTGCCTGGTTTAGCCACTTCTATGTGTGATTATGAATTAAGGACCTCCTGAGAAAAAAGACTATATCGGGGGTGCCACAAAGTAAATGATAACTGTGCTCTTCAACTGCTGATTCTTAGCATATTCACAACCCAATCAAGAAGCCCATAGTTTTATGCACAGTCTCAGTCAATATTCAGTATTTTCATGGATTGAAGTCATAATTTAACCTGAGCACCCTTAACCGTTTTACAGACATGTTTTACTTTAGTCATCATCACAAGTCAAGTTATATAGAGAAAAGGGATACATAACAAATAATGATCATTTCATTGGTGTATTTTCACTATCTTATCTACTGATTTTCCTTTTCTGCTTCAAACTCTTAGCCCAACAAAAACATTGTATACTCAGTGGTTCTACAACACATTAGCAGTGATATGAATGCCTCTAAGCCTTCTCATATGTCTCATTTTCAGTGACAATACAGCAGAAGGCCACTGCAGTTGCTGCTTAGCTACTTTCTCTGTTATATGAAATTAGTAGGGTCAATGATACATCAGAAAACAGAAAGTTGAAATGAAATTTATCTCGAGTAGCTTAGAAAAACCTTGTATAAAGTTGTATTATTCCTTTAGCAAAGTCATAATCAAAAGATTAGTAGCTAAAAAGCATATTAAGTTTATAATTGAAATTGATCGCAAGTAGTAACAAAACTTATAAAGGCATAATTTACATTTTTCATTTCTAGTCTTGGACTTACACGAGAGGCTGAACATCCCATCAAGTTGTCACTGGAATTAAATCCAACCGTTGAATCTTTCACACTTTTCGCCTTTATTGCATTACGATTTGACCAACCAGCTCGTGCACTTGGTATATACGATGAAGGCCTACAGAAATTCCCATGTGATACCGATCTTTTAACTGGTAAAGCACGAATTTATCAGGTAGGTACATATATATTAAAAATGATAGATAAATCGTAAGGATAAATATATATTGACAGCAGACAGAAGGATATTGAGATAAAAATTTGTAAATTTAGTGAATTAATACCATATATTGGCATTGTTACTATCAGCTCTTTTCAAAACTTATTCTACTTCAGCTGGTATTACAGCTTGAAATGACTTCATTTAGATTATAAAACTGAATACTTTACGTCTTATGAACCTCTGCCTGCATTCAACTGGTCTTATTGCTATAACTATGCCCTTAAAAGCATGGTTTTATTATCTTTACATTTATATCAATATGGTATTGAATTTCTTCATGAATCATGTCAAGTATCGTTTTCTCTTAGAAAAGGATGCCAACAAAATATCTGAGAGATAGACTGTGCTGAAATGATATTAGGAAGCTTGATGCTGGTTGGCAGTGTAACCTGATAACCTCATACTTCACGATTTAGAGAAAAGCCGTTTGCTGTTTCGGAAACTGTTATAATCTTAAGTTTGAATAAGCAAACACATGGTGTCTCAGCAAAGTATCTGTTTGTAAAGCAGGTGATTTTGCGATTCCTTAATTACTTTTGAATAAAATGGTTACCAAGACATGGAGAGAATCAATCTGTTTTAAAAATGCAAGTAATGAATTGCATTCTAACTGCACATGGCCACAAGTAAGACGAGTAGTAATATTTGTAAGAAATTAGAGAAAGATGAATCAAATGAACAAATTATTAAGGAATTTATTCACTTCACTCACCTACATTTTATATCATTTTCGAGTATACGTATGATAGTGCTTTTGTATGGGATTTATGTGTGTAATATTCCTTCTCTGAATTAGCCACTATCCACTGTAAAAATTGACTTCATTTCTGTTATATCGCAATTTTACATACCTAGTCTTCTATTTTAAATGTATCATCACTTTATACGAAGCATGTATTGAGCTGAGTGAAGAAACATTCATCGTAATCGATTTCAACAAGTAATATTCAAGACCTTTCTAGTTAACTCATAATTTATAGCGTATAAGAATACATTTACAGTATTCTGATATTATTCGTCCAGAAATTGAACGATATCTCACAGTCTGTCGCTGTGTACAAAACAATATCAGAAATAGATAACATGAATATTGAAAGCTTGGCTTCGATTGCTATGTACTATTTTTACGAAGATCAACCAGAAATTTCATTGAAGTATTATCGGTGAGTTAGATATGACTACCTCCTGTTTGCACAATAGATGATTTTCGAGTGTATTCAAAATTCATTTCTCCTGTTATTTTTAATAATGACTGAAAAGTGATCAGTGTTAAATACTTGATTTACGTTAGATAGAATTAAGTCTTAGCCCCTATTAATTTATGCTCTGTATGCAGTCTAACATTGCTTAGGAAAATTCTTGAAGCAGGTAATCTTTCAATTGTAAAGGACCGTAAGAACACACGCCGGTTTTTCTTGACTCAACGAGTTATTTTCAGCTACACACACCTAGCTACTCGCAAGATATCAATAGTATATATTTCGCACGGCATTTTATAAAGAATAAACGAAATTATTAGTTCTATACGTGATCAGATGATGTTTATGTGGAATTATCATTTATCGCATTCCCAAAATGAAGTATAATGAATCTTCAGTTTCCATACATAAATGTTTTATTATGCATTTGAAAAGAGAAGAATAACATGAACCTATTTTATTTCACCAGAAACTGTTTGCAACTTAGATGATCAAAATTCAAATTATTCTAGAGATAAACATAACTAATGCTTGTAGTCAGAAATCATTGTAAGAAATACGAAGGAGTGGCTTCGAAAGTATATTAAAGTCTCAGGATAAACTACCCTAGGCAAATGAAACTTCATAGAAATCGACAACGGTGACAACAAAATATTGTGGAACTTAAGGTGTGCAATAAAGTGGATAAGTTTAAAAAATAATCTACGTCGCAAAATGTATAAAGTATAGTTAATTAAACTCGACTGGTGCGAACTTAAGTCACTGTGAATATACATAGTTTGATAGAAAATAGGAAATAAGAGTTTAATTTAGTATGGGGATTTATTAAAGGATGATGTAGCTTAATCAAGGTAAATGTTTAGGGCTGGGCCAGGAATGCAGTGAAAGAGACCAATGACGAATTCCTTCTAAATATAAAAAGTAGATCCCAAACACTCGATAGCTTTAGCCCTTGGAAAATTTAGGTTATCTAAACCAGCTTGTTCATTGATATTCCTGAATGAAATTATGATATCAGCGTGATTTCTTTTATCAACCAAATCAGGTGACTGCATCGCTGAATATACTACTACCTAGGAGTAATGAGCTATTTGGAACATGTTCAAAAACTTGAACACAGACCTTCCTTTCTTTTCTCCTGATTTACTGGTTTTAGCAGTTGAATAATAATGGATGTACGTGCACAGGTGACAATAACATAGGAAGGGTGCTCGTCAAATTTCTATTGCGGCGCTTCAAACAGTCAAAGAGACTTATCTTCAGGGAAGCTTCTGATACGTGCAATCTTTACTAATAAATGCATTTTTCTGCAATACCATCATCTTAAAAGATGAGGTAGATGAATTTTGGTTAACTTTAACTTTCTGCAGACTACTGTCTTCGATCCTTCCATATTTTTCAATCCTCGAAATACTCCCATTGTTTCATGTAAAATTAACAAAACACAATTCAGCGAAGGAACGTTTCATCTCCTATCCTTGATATGTAAACTGTCTCGCTTTCCTCAAATGTTCTACCACTTCATTGATTACTACGGCATTACGTTGTAATGACCTCTCAACCACGATGTTGTTATCCTTTGACCAATTTTGAATGACCTAGTGTTGACCCATCAGTCACTGATGAACATCAACTTTGTTGTAATTATAACTGCAAATGTACGGCTCCTGAATATCATTCATTGAAAATAAAATTTTCTTTAGTCAAATTTTCATCACCCACTATATTTACAGACAAATAGAGCAGTCTAGTGGAGGGCCGTGGATTTGCTTTTCGATATAAAAGGATTTTACCGGCATGTTTTAGCACACCATATTTATATATCATCAGCATGAGAATGGACCTATATATTTCGCATAGGTAAACAAGCTGGCTATCTCAGCTTGGGTTATATGTATATATATATATAGGGACATCTGGTAATGATCCTTCATCAGGTTCACCGACAGAAACTTTGTTATGACTTTTACTTCCTTTAAATAGTAAAACTAGGTCGTCTTTTCAGCGTCAGTAGAGAGGTAAACCACTTCGGCGACACCAACCCAATCGGTAGTAGCGATGGGCGGTGTGTACAAAGAACAGGGACGTAATCAGAGCAAGTTTATAACTTGCACCAACCAGGAATTCCTCGTTCAATAATAATTAATAATTACAAGTCTTGTTCCCACTAGACGCATTTTTTGCTGCTCTTGCTGTACCACGTTTGCTTTCTAATCATAATAATAATAATAATAATAATAATAATAGTGGTAGTGGGCATTACCAGTATACCATTTTTCCTTCCTCTCTCAATGTGTTAGATGGTTTTCATTTGTAACTAAGTAGAAAAAAGTTATGAATTTTCTGCACAACTCATTCTGCGTAGAATTTCGAAGAGGAATATTCATCCTATTTTTAATATTATTTCCGAAACATAGACTCAATGTTAGTTGAAACCTGTTGAACAGACCTAGCAAGTGTGTCAAATGGCATGATTAATTGCGCAAAATTAAAGTATCCTCCACATATTCATAGTAAAATGTCATTTCCTTGTTAGCGCATTTACGGTTTTTGTTGTTCACATTGGTGATGATGATATCTAGTAATATAGTATCCACTGATTTTCTAATCACGAGTTCATCCACTGGATGGTATAATTTTTTCTGGAACTGTAATGAATATTCTTGATGGATATTGGTAGAACCTCTTTGAACTTTGAAACTAGCAAAAGAAGAAGGTTATTTAATCTAGAGGGGCTTAACTTGAAACTTATTTTGTAATATTACTATGCAGCTCATTTAATAACTCTGGTGTTATTGTATAACTTCAAGAATAACCGTCAGTTAACAAAAGTAGTTTCATGTACATCATTTCATTTCTGTGTACAAAACCAATAATTTCACTTTGTAAATAATTGTATATTGTCAGTCGATAGATTGCGTGTTTATATTCATAAGTCAGATTGTAGTAATTATAGCGGCAACTGTACAGCAGTCTCTGTCTTTAGCTAGGATGAAATTTAAGGGATTATATCGTGTGAAAAACCATGGTGTAAAATGTCTATTCGAGACGTCAAAGTTATGGGTGGGAGTAATCATGTGTTGGGTTAGGGGATTAACGAATACGAATTATTTGATACAGCTAAGTCCTAAAAGGTTAAGTTCAGTTTCATTTCGACCCAGTTTTACAGTTAATAAGTCCTGAACTATTTTTGACAGGGTTTTTCAGAAAAGTCCCACAGAACTCCTTCGTTTCTGAAGTCTTTAGAATATCAGTATAAGAATCCTTTCGTTCTTTATTTTAAAGAGGCTGGAAGAAGTAGATGATATTCACCCAGCGTTCAATACTTAAATTTCTTATTATTATATCGGGGGCACTGATCTCAGTCTTCGATCCTTCTATACTTAGTCCTAATCATTTACCATAAGGTTACGTAGTACGTCGGTTTGACGAAATGATAGTAGTGTATGGGGAAATACAAACTTGGCAAACTGGATACGAAAACAGAACAACTTTAGACAGTCTTCATGCAACTTCAGTATGCTAAGTGATGTTAAAATGAAACAACTCATTAGTAAAAGGAAATTTTATTTTTGTCATAGAGTCAATTATGGTTAGACATTTGTATTCATAGCTAGTACAACAAAACAACTTACCGTTATCAAATAAAAGGTTAATACTGAGTTATAATTAAGTAAATAGTTAGTGATAGAACAATGAGTTGTACATAAGAGTGAAAGTTACAAAAAAATATTATCAGCGTGGTTATGCAGATAGCTATAAAAACGATGGGGAGGCGTAACGAGAATTCACAGAACAGATGAGTAAGCAATGATTAACATATCTGTATTTCAGTCAGGATAGATAGACGGAAAAGGGGTTGAAGTTCAATTTGAAGCGGCTTAATTTATGCAGTCTGGACAATCCAATTCATATAAAAGAGTTAACTGACAGAAATAAATTAAGGCAATCAGCATAAATGTCTTTTGTCAAAACATCAAATATCAGGATTTTTATTAAAGGTTTAAATTAATGAAGCTTGTAGATTTCTGCTGAAATATCATATTAATGACAAACATTCGTAAACATGGTCGTTAAAACAGCTGTAATTAATTGCTCAGTAAACCAAGAGTAACCATCTAGAGCCTTCAGTTAGCTTATCACTGGTTTCATCTGCACACATTTAGAAAGACAATATATACTTCACAGTGAAACCATCAAACTCGAAGAACGTGACACTACCAAGCGCAAATTTATGTTTTGTTCACTCATTACTGTATTAACTAAACAATAAGAATAATAATAGCCTCATTCTAAACAAGACTTGGGGTTTAATGTGAAATTCTCAGCATGTTATAGTTCAATAAATTCATTTCCTGTACAATATGTTTAGGCGAAATAATCACTGCATTTTAATAATTATAGTAACAACAGTAATAAAAGCCACAGGCATTTAGTTTGCACTGGTGAATGAATAGAATGTCGGGCGTAATTTTGGTGGTGGTAGTTTATTCACTTAGTACCAAAATCTGTAATCCGACATAATTATCTTAAGAACTGTAATACACCGTATTTGTTTGCATTTATAAGCCTATCTATTATCGGCGTATCATTTATTCTTTGTTTTGCCGTTAGCTTGAAAAACGGCACTTTGAAACGCTTTTTAAAGTGCATCAGAGTACTTGACGTGTTTAAAAGACATTTATAAGATTAAAACAAATTAAAGGAATGTATTTGATGAAGTAAATTCTGTCGAAAATTTTCGATACCTCAAGGTTTAAGCAGACCACGAGATCAAAGTTAAAGTGAGAAGTTCTGATATTTAAAAGAAATTGAACGTTAATTTTTATTCATCTTTCAGTCATTTGTAGCTTTTGTTTTTTTACTTAAAGGACATTCATACCTGCACGACATCATTCCTAATATTCAAAAATAAATTATTTGATATAGGCATAACTAGCACTTTAAAACATCTAACTTTTCGTGAATTAATTGATAAGGAAGTGACCTAGCATGGTCATGAAATGTTAACAACCAAGAATCAGATCTTGCAAAAAGTCGATTGATACCAGAATGATCTTTAATATGACACATTTTTGAAGCCTTTCAGCTGGATCCCTTACATTTTTATGGGGTTCTGCAGACCTAAACAAACTACATTCTGCTATAATCTTCACCGCTAACCTATTAACTTCACAGAGAAACTGCCTCCGAAGGTGGTTTATATCCACGAAAATAATAATAAGGTCAATTTGACTGATCATTTTCTACCGCTTAACTCTTTAAAATATGACTCAAAGTTTATTCTATAAATAAGTGACTCTTTATAAATACGCGTTTTATTTTGATGTAACAGGCGTATTTTGCAGTACGGTTATGAGTCAACAGAATTATACAATAATCTGGGACTATGTACGTATTATACCCAGCAATATGATATATGTCTATCATTTTTCAATCAAGCGATTGCACTAAGTGATGCCACCAACTTTGCAGATGTTTATTACAATCTAAGTCATATCGCAATTGTAAGTCTTTGTGTTGTTTGATACTTTTGCAGTAATTTACTTTAACAGTATAAGATATTTTGACAAAGATATCAGTAACCAAATCATCATCACTTTTGAATTTAGTGTTCGCAGGCGTTTCATATAATACAAAGTTATCACTGAAACGTTTAAGCATGTAAAACTATTGTAAATATGATTCGAGGCGATACATAGACCATTCGCAAATTTCAGCTATCAGCTAACATTTCTTGATATGTTCAAATGTTCTGTGGAATCAGTATTTCCTTCAATGATTCTAGCCTACAATATTAAGTCTACTTTCTTCATGGTTCAGCAATCAAAGGGATAGACTGATGAATCAACGTAGAAACTGGTAGATGATTTCATCCATTCAAGTTGTGAGACTTCTCAACAGCATACAAGGAAAAAATGGGTGGCAAAAAATATTATAAGCTATAGAAAAATGCAAGAAGGTTGAGGGAATAAACAGATAGAGCCTAATTGAAATGCTAAAAACTTCAAAGATGATTTCAAAGAGTGTTCAGTTCTGCTCCACTTTGACCAGTTGTAAGCCAGATCACTAAGAAGGTTTAGGGAATTAACCACAATGACATGAAGTCTCTATTTTTAGGTTCCTGATCTGGTGGATATTACTCTGCATTTCAAACTGTTCGTACTGTTTGCATTTATGTGATTTACATTCAGATTCCCTTAAGATTTCTATTTGGTTTTTAAAATCTTACTAACGGATGTAAACAAATGAAATTCAATTTGGACATTTGTGGGGATTTTGTTTATTTCAATTCAGTATTCGTCACGGACTGGAATCAGCTAGAGAACCACTGAAAATCTGGGAGCAGTAGACAGCGGCTTTGTTTGAGTATGTATCTCCTTAGCAGTGCATTCTTAAAATCTCACCTGGGACATAACCAAGGACCCTTCGGTTTCGTAGCAAGCCTGTTACCCTTGAGCCGTTGGGTCGGAATCCAGTGGTTCACATTTCCCTACTTCTGTCGGTTCGCTTTTTAACACGACCTCCATTCACTGCCATCGCCCAGTTTCTGCCTTCACATCCGACTCAATTTACCTGCTGGTTACAGCTTGTCATTAGAACTTCAAGATATGTCATTTTGAAGCAAGTCACTAGGAAGTACTGGGTAGTAATTCAATTTGAAGGAGATTTATTTAATGATTTCAAATCGGTAATCACCACTAACTGAGGTTAATTAGAGAGCTGTTGAAAACCTTGGAGGATTGGACAGCTACTGTGTCATATACAAGGATTAAGCAGCTCATCAGTGCTCCTAGCTTTTCAATGGTTTGCCAAATGACGTCAGTTCATGATAAATATCAATTTAAGAGAAAGAAATCTGAAAATATTCTAACAAAATAATCATAGTAATTCAAAAGAATAAAGGACAGTTTCTTGGTTATTAGGAATGGGTAAATTTCGTTAGGATTAATTTTAATTTCGCAAATATAATTTCAACATTTTTCTTACTGTTCTGCATGATGAATAAAGTAGAAACGATGCTTATTTTGTTGACTGATGGTGAAATGAGTGTGCTACCACTTGTTTTGCTTTCATTCAGTTATTGTATTTTCCAGTTTTCATTATCATATAGGTGAATAACATTGATCTAAAACAGGTTTACCGTTAAAATACTTCTGAATTATTGAAGTCTTTCAGTAGATTAAGGAAAGCAAACTGGATTTCGGCATATTTTTAAAGCATGATTCAACAAAATACTCCATAATCTTTTGGTGAAAATATTACTGAAAAGTTCCTTAATAAAATATTTACTAAGTATATTGTATTTATTACTGAATTTTATGGTAAACCTTAACAAGAATGTGAATAAAAGATTATTGCATTATGTCAAAGTTAAGAAAGCCTGACGCTTCATAAAATATCGGTGTGATTTGTTTAAGTATATTTTTGTTGTTGACAATTGGGAGTTTCAGACTAATTTACTTCAAGTATTATGTGTCACAATGTTTATTCACTTGTTTTCCACTTACTTTTCACCAAACATATCTCACTTTTGATGGTGAAGAAAGAGAGAGAGAGAGAGAGAGAAAGATAGAAGGGAAATCAGGTGATTTGTAGATCTACTCCAAACTTTTATCAAATTACCAAGTGAATGTCAACAAATGTTGAAGATAATTTTGTTGTTTATTTAATACTGTTTACTTAGCAGCATTAGTAGCAGTTGTAGTAATAATAATAAAAATTGACTAGTATTCCCTTCTGTCAAACAAATTTGTTTCGAGTATAAACAGGTTACAAGAATAAATCGAATTCCCTCTTGAAATGTCTCATTCATTAGGAGGATTCAGTATGATAATGTTTTAATCAAGGATAAATTTTTTTACTAGTAATAATACTACTTGACTGATTAGTCTGATCGATACTCTGTTTATCTAGGAAATCTGCTGTGTTAGACTAGGTGTAAGACAAAGACATTTATGTTCTGAGAATCATAATATTCAGACCAATGACTTGATTCTACTCAATGTGATTTATGTTATTTGGAATATGAATAAAATGTAAGGCAAACCCATGATATGTGATACTGAACTTGTAAATCATAGTGAGTTGTGTTGAAGTTTCCTAGACAGATTTCCTCTTAGCTTCATCACTGTTATTTCACACAGTGAAATTTAAAGGTATTTGCTTTATTTTTGATTTTACCGCTTCTAGGTGTTAGTGACCAGTGTTTCATGCACTGTAACACAAAATCTTTGAAAACTGTTTCAGTTGGTTCCTAATTGTCTGATCAACTGAGAAATGAGAGAACTATTGAAACGTCCACTTCAGATATCATTTATTTTCTCTGCCTTCCAAGTTTCTATAGTTGAAACATGATTTTGCAATAAAAATAGCAAAGTAATAACTGTGTTTGTTGAAGGAAATTTAAAAAAGCCTCCTTTCAATATATAAGCCTGTATTCCACTAATTATGGGTATTATGTGACTGTTAATTAACCATCAAAATAAGTTTTCAGACGTTTAAGGAATCAGCTAGTTACAGTTTTAGTGTTATTGTATACTGTTAAAATATTTCTCGATTCCTTTGTGTTTTTCTCTAGAATGTTGGGGATCTACAGATGGCACATCAATGTCTATATATTTCCATTGTGAATGATAGCAATAATGCAGAAGCTTATAATAATTTGGGAGTGTTAGAGCAGAAACTTGGGAATATCGATATGGTATGCATAACTGTCCTCATTACTCTTAACACAACGTGAGGTGTAGAATTACAGTAATTAGTCACTAGGGGGTATCCAACTTCGTAGTGTTCAGTACTAAGTGCTGACCGAATTCTGTTGACCACTTTGTAATGTAATCACCAAGCCAGGAGACTCACCATCCCGATGTACTGATGGAGGTGTCAGTTAGATGGAGGCAAGAAGCCTTGGGTCTAGATTCCCTGCTTTTTGGAACTCAAACCTGGGCTTCATAGTCTCCTACAGATTGCCACCATCCAACTAACATCTCTCTTATTGCAGTGTAGGATTATTGAAATAGTATGACCTAGTTGTAATACTACGTGCTGAGAAACGTGTATCAACTAAGTTAGTTGGAAGAAAAGTATTTTATGTTTCTTTAGTAATCACATTTCCTGATGCATGGTACTCAGCAGTGTTGAAAAAAGGTTTTTGGATCAAGTCAAGGCAGAATTCATTGATACAGGTGATCTGTAGTTTAAGTTATATAGGGAAGCTTAGGTTTTTCTAACTGTGGTGTGGAGTATATTAGATCAGTAAAGTTGACTTTATAATCATATTTTTGTATATAGTGAGTACTTTGGTTTTTAGTACCTGCTTATCCTCCTATTCGGTCTTAATTATTAGTAGTACTTTGGTACTTCTATGCTGTCAATCCTAACTTGCTCACAATTGAAAAGCAAAAAGTTTGTAAACCTATGACTTCATATAATTCATTCACTTAACTTTTCGATTATGATTGTCCATTAATGAGATTACACTAAAGAATCCTTAGAAGATAATCATTATGCTTTTAGAAATCAAAAAGTCAAAAGAAGACCAAAAATCTGTAGTTATAAAGCTGGTTTACAACTGTGAGTGAAAACCACACCTAATGATAATTGGTCCAAGTAGAACAAATATTGTGTTCATTATAAAGCTTTAAGGTCCTTAGCTAAATCTTGTGAAGGATAAAAAAACATTTATTCTCTTAATGAGTACAATATATAACTGTTTCACAATCACATAAAGGCTCATGAATTAGGCTGTAAGGTATGATTAATTAAACATTTATTCTTTGGACTAATGAATCTCAGTGTAGAGAAAGTGTCTAGTAAATGCAGATTCATAATTAAAATCATTTTTAGAGAACTGAAACATCAAACAACATTTGACAAATATTACTGAAAACAAAGTGTTAGAAAAGAAACAAGTAGATTGAGTGTTTATTAAAAGAAAATTAAGCGTGCTGTGGTGTGTATTGTTTATAAATGGTTATAATGAAATGATATCATATGAAACAATAGTATTAAAATCTTTTATCAAAGCAAAAGTCTTCGTGTTTTTGGTTAATTATATAGGCCAAAGAATTGTACAAAACATCATGCCGACTAACCCCTTGTCTGTTCGAACCATATCATAACTTGGCTTTTCTAACAGAAACTGTAAGTTTATCATAGATACTTGTTGAATGTTGTACGGTGTAAAAGAAAATTAGAAGTTAAGCTGAAAGGTGATGAAGTCATTGGGGTATGAGAATACTTCGTCTGGTAGATTATAAACTAATCAGTTCACTAAAACGGATTGATGACAAAAATTTACTGAAGCTTTTTTGATTATGTCAGCATAATTTTCCATTGTATTTTTTCCCCACAAAAACAAACTATTTCATGTCATTATTCAACTCAACTCACAACATATATAAATGACAATATTCTGAAAAAATAAATAAATAAATGATGTTCTTCTAACTGTTCACTCAGAAAGCGTTCAACTTCGCTATCATAGTGGTTTTCAGTCTATAAAAATGTTGAATATTTTGCTTGATGAACTGAATAGTCGTGGTTTAATTTTGGAAAAAAGTTTAGTTAAAACTATAGACAAATTGTTTTAAAGTCTAATTTTATCTGATATCTCTGTCAAAGTGTAGTTTTACGTAGATTTTAATTTGTAACTAAATAAAGGTGTCTGATGTAAGTTTTCCAGCTTATAATTAAATCTATGTAAAAGATTACACCAAGTGAGATGTTTTGTTTTGTCAACAAAACATTTTTGCTTGACAATCGAAAGACTTGTCTTACTACAGTGCACCTAACTAACCGTTCAATCGGGTAAGAATTTGATTCATTCCAATGAATTCCTGTGATAAGTGACTTTTCAATGCAACCATGATGATTGTGAGTGGTTATCCTCGGTAAATAGTCATAAGTTTTTGATTGCTTACAAGTTATTCTTACCTTGTGGAAAGCAACTAACCAGTGAATTTCGGTTTCTAATTTCTCTTTGGTAGTTAACAATACTGGATGAAACACAACAAAAATTTATTTACAAGTTAATTAAGCGACTGATAAGCAAATAATAAATACTCCTGCTTAAAGAAGAATATTCTGAAATACTAATGAATGTTCTATACTACAGATGAATGTGAAGACTTTCTACGTTACTAACTGACTGTTTGTTAGTAATATTATGACAGTGACATCTTTTGACACTGAGAATTAAGCATTTTACTTTTCTGTTTATGCCCATTCATGGTGCTAAAATAACCTGAAAAGTGTGTTGATAAGTTTTTTATCAACACTGGGAAAGCTAACTATGAACTCGGTTTTAGGTTATCAGTTGTAATGTAGATAACATGATGCTTTCCAACTCTGGGTAAAAATGCGGTAATGAAAGGAAATTTCACTTAAGTTGCGTTTCAACAAGATTTTATGTAGTAAATAAATATTGAGACTTACTCAACAATATTGCCTCTTGCTTTCAATTAAATAGCTAAAGAAATGACAATTATAAAATCATAATTTTTCTAGTTAAGTTTTCTATGTTCAGGATATGGCCATGACAGAATGGAAAAGAAAAGGACTTGAGCAGAAAGCATGCTTTTGTTAAGATCTTCTCAAGCTATACTCCTCTTAAACAGATTAATTCACAGTAAGAACCATTCTACTAGGCATTCATTAATGTTTTCAAAGTCAGTAACATCCATTAGTTTTAACCTTTTTGACAAAAAAACATTTAATGCGTTGTCGGTAGGTTCGCTTTTGAACCTTATACTGAAAACATATATCCATGCACTGATTTTGTAAGAAATAAATTGGAATGAAATGAAAAAAAATGTAGCTAAATATGCAATTATAGCTGAAGAGTTTCAGACATGTAATTAGAGGTCTGTTTTCGTGATTTAGGTGGATCTAAAACTCTCATAACTAAAACAATCGTGTCGCCTCTTCTGTCCACAAAATATGAGGATAGTATGTTTTCTGTATGGTTTGCTACACGATACCTAATTTGGTTACTAAACTTTGTTGTTATCGACGTTTATATATCAGTCTGGACACATATTTGGATGCTATTTGAAAATAATGGGACCTGCTTTATAGGTTTGCAATCTAGATAATCAGTGATGTACATGTAAAAATGTTGCTCAGTGAGTAGAAATGTTCATACCTACTAAGTTTGATAAAACAGACTGAATTAAATTTGAGTAAGAATCTCAAATATTAGGGGAACCTAATGAAATTCTAATAATTCTGGTACCATGCCTAAACAGTTGTTGGTTGTATCATTATAAATACTCCTAATGGTAAAAACTATCATATTACTCTTTATTTCTACATCCACTCGAGTATTTTAATCAACTTAAATATCGGTGTATGCTTTGGATATGTCTAGGTGTATTATTAATATTCTCCAGTTGAAAATAGGAAAATTATCACAGAACCATTGTCTAGGTGATATCCAGTAAAAATTTTGTTTACAACACCGATGACTTGTTGTATTAGCATCCATGTAGGTAGTTATGCTAAGTGAACTGATCATACATACGCTTATATTATCATATAAAGTTTATGAAAACTGGTCAAGTGAGAAGTTACGCTTTATTTCTTTTTTGATGGACAGTAGATATTTCATAATAGGCAGTGAATGAGAATTTCTAAAATCAGTTGTTTAACACATTTATATCTGGAAATCAACGCTTATTAACTGTTACTGTAATTGTTATTCAGCGCTTGCATAAGCTTATGTATATGAGACTTTCATTAGCTGTTTCCAAAACGTATGACAATAAAAATATTTTAGATAATAATAATAATGAGTAGTGACTGACTGTAGGATCATGGACGCCCGTCTGGTTCTATTTTGAACTCGTCAGCTGGATGCACTTACCTCCTAGTTAGTGATGTTGTTGTAAATAAATTTCAGACCAAGAACCCAAGACTTCAAACGCCAGATCATAATTCCCCAGCTTTCTGAGTAGCTGCGGCCACTCCTTATGCAATGGGTATAGGTTTGAAGGTTAAGTTTGTAATTTCCCGTCGTCGACTGGACCAAAGTGTTTGGCGTTCTGGATGTCACTGACAACCACCACCCATCATTACTATCAAACTTAAGTTACAGGGGATTTTGAGGTGTCCACGCATAAGTCTGTATGCCAACAGTGGGTGATCGATTCAGTCTGATCAAGGAAGGGAAATTACGAGTTGTAATATCAGTTGTAGACTTTGTCTACGAGTTTTCTTAATTAACAGATATGAAGTATGTGTAACTGTGACTCTAAATTATTTAACTAATTGTCACTGTTTTATTTGTGTTTTTTTTTTCATTTAGATTGGTGAATTACACACAGCGTTTGACCTAGCCAAACGTTCACTAAGTTTATTTCCAAATCACGGTGACTTACAAAATCTTCTCTTTCGTTTGAAGGAATACTTTACTTCCACATAAGGTATATAAGAAATAATGAGCATGACTTCTAATCACTTCGTAAAACTTCTATTTACGCAAACTGTTTAACATGTTAACACTATGACACAAATGAATATGAAAGTGTCATGTAAATATATTACTCTTTATGAAGCGTAATTTGTTATGTATTCCAAAGAACAAAAATAAAAATGTCTCTGTATATAAAAATTTAGGTTTATGCATAAGTTTGGTGCCTTACTAGGTGCATTTTGTTATGGTTTTCATTTACATTGCTGCATTTAATTTCAAATATATCAATCAAATAAAAACTGAGTCTTGGTATATTTCTAACAGATGGTTTCTGGATTGCCAGCCTAACTCTTTACCAACTATGCCGCCATACCCAGCTGCTAACAATTTTAACTCCACTTCACCTATCAAGGAATTTACTAAGATGCTACGTGTATGCGTGTTACGTTGCCTTCTGTTTATCTTCATAATCGTGGCTGCTAATTCAAGTCTTCTTAGCCTAATCTAAATCCAGGCAAATTAGAGAGAAGGAAGAGTTGGACTGATAAACCACGGGATTGTCTGTGAGTATAGAAGTTTAACTGGTTTGTGTTACTGATGCACTGGACTGGTAGTTTGGAGTCTAATACTTTGAATGCTGCTGTGCGCAGGTTTTCATTTGATCTTTAGTCATCGCCTCACATCTCATATATTGGGCTGCCAATCCTCGGCTATCCTAGGTAGTCTCATCAACAAATTTATCAATATTAGTATGAAATGCAACCAACTGTCTACCTATTTCTTCTTATTCCTACTACTCAGGCTACTGTTGTGACGCTCTACTTCCAAGCAAAGAGGTAAGCCAATGAGACTGGTTAAAAAAGTTAAAAGTTGTAATATTAAGAGTGATGTCAATTTAGTAGACATTTATTTGGTTTTTTATGAAGGTAGAACCTTACATACATGTGTGAAATTTCCGGCTGTTACTCCTCATTATAGAGTGGTACAAAATATGTCGAGAAAAAGATGTAACTCAAGGTGGAGTTATTGGAAATAAAGCAACTGGTACTGATATTTAAGAGGAAGGTAATGAGTGAGTGTATTTATGTTTCATTGTTAGATATTAATCTGAGCTTACCAATCGAACTTTACCGCATTTATAAATAGATATGGTTAACTGATGCTTCAATGCGCTGTTTGGATTAAAAACCACTGACTTGGTGCTTGAAAGTAAAGGAGTTCGGTTCTTTATTTCCAAACAATGCTACTCTACATGTAGTCCCACTTTTTCTAAAGTATTGCTTCAAGCTGTTTAGGATATCCATATTAACTGATCCATGACTTTCTTGTCAATTTCTATTCATCTGACACAAGATTACCTACTGGATGCCTCTATGACTTCTATGTTTGACCATATGTAAGGCCTACATGGACAGAATCCTATTAAGTTCACAAATGTGAACCATTTTTAAAACTTGAATTTGTTTGTCGGTATAAAAAGAGGGTAAGTTAACAGTGAGTTATTTAGTCTTGGTTTTTCATAATATTTGTTGCTCTTCCAAATAAATCAGCCTGTTACCGGCTGTTATTTGAGTTGATTTTGATGTAGGCACCTGCTTACAATTCACGAAATCAATCTGAACTTCACAAATAGTTTTCATCTATCGTTGTTGAGATAACCGTAAAATAAAAGGGTTGGTGAATTCTTTGAAATGTTAAACGCTCACTACAATTACATTTATATTTGTAACAGCTAGTATTATAAATACCGTTATGCTATTAAGTAGTCTTTTTCAGATAGTCTCAGATAGTCAAAATTGTAATCAACATTATACTCCTCCTCTCTAATTCAGTTGGATTTGGATAAGAAGTCCTTACTAGACAACTAGTGTGAATACGATCAAATGGTAGTAAGACATCACGAAGTCACATGGTTGTCGGGCAAAACTTATGATGATTGAAGTGAAATAAAAATCTGATCAGCAATTGAACCTCATACCCAGTTGGTAGAGCATCAGGCCGGAAACCTGGTGGTCGCTGGCTTGAATCCAGCCACGGTCCAAATTCTCATTTCGCCTTCAGTCATCACCTAGTATAAATGTCCTTGATACTGTTTTAAAATTCAGGTAAGTTATAACTTCAGCAGAATGACATAGTAGGATTGTTAGTTCAAACCGGGATTACAAATGGGGTCTCACAAGAACTTGTTGATTCATGTATATGCTTGTCGTATTTGTTTGTGACATCACAAGAAGTGGCATGTTTGCGTCTCTGGCTTGGTGATTAACGCTCTGACATTTGAAGCAGTTGGTACGACGTTTAAGCTCCAGTAAGACCACCATCAGCTACTGGGTTTATCATGCTGGTGAGTTCAAAGTCAGCCGAAACAGGCATTGTGAATTTCGCTGCTAGCCACAACCAAGTATAACATTCAGGCAATATGAAGTCATCCACATGGCTCATCTGTTAATAGAGGTCGATAAATTCTACCCTTATAACAGCAGGAAACTGTTTTGTATCGGCATTGTGATATATCGAACAGAATGCTTCATATGTTAGGATACTCGTAGGTACGTATATATAGCAACAAAAATTTGTCTGGGGAAAATATGATATGGAGCAGTTTATAGGTTGTTCAGCAAACTCAAACTACTTCTCCTATTTAGCTTGCATACCACAGCGTTTTTTGTGAAGTCTTCACAGACTCATCTCATGTTTCAGTCGTATCAGGCTTCTAAGCCCTAGGCATCAATAAATACCAGAGATGAAGTCATGGTCAACCTCATATTCATATTTAATACTCAACACGCCGTACTACGATTGATTGACAAATTCAGCCATTCACTGCTTTGAACAGCTAAATTAAATGTTAAATAATACCTTATAACCCAATAACTCAAGCGCAAAAAACCTACTCGTAAAACTTAACACAAAAATATATCTCAATGCTCAATGCTGTATGGAGTTTGTCACCCATGCCTAAACTAAGGATTCGTTCTGTCAAACGTGAATATTATTAATTTCTGTATTATAATGTAAACCATTAGGTTGCTTATATAGTACATATACCTCTTCAGGTATCAAAGGAGACCGTATTAGATGCTTAGGTTATATATTGTATTAAAATGAAGTTAACAAATTTTTTTGCATAAACTTACATCAGCGTAACTTTGCTTATCTCTTTACACTCAAATTATAAATGCATTTGAGTGGAAATAAATATGAATTGTTTCTGTTCGGCTTATTTCATTTATTCTCAGTTTAAGTTTAGTTGGCGGTTCCTTTACTTAGGCAATGAATTGAAAGTAGTAATCTCGATTTGTGTTAGTCTACTTGACAAACATATTAGATTAAGAGTAATTGGACTGTTGGATGCATATTTTTTGACCCAGTATGGAAGGTAATTGAATAACTTGTTTTTAGAAAACAAGTGTTGATAAATAATGAATCTTGATGATTTTTATTTGTTATTTACTGAACCTTATTATGAAATAAAGCATACTGGATTAAAGTTTATTTATGACTGTAAACAAGTGTCTATCCTCTTCATCTACAAAAAATGCTTTTCAGTAGCTTTTAGACTTATGATTGGATATCTTTATGTATCTTTGTAAAGTACTACAGATTAAAATTTAAAAAAATATTTCGCACTTGTTGGTTGATACAAAAATAATAGGCTACAAAAGATCCAGCTGTCTACAAAAGATTCAATTTATTCAAATTGAGTCGACCGTTGTGAATAATGACTGATAGATGCATGTGTTTTCATCACACTTTTAAAATTACGTATGCATTAATATCCATTATGGGATTACGAAAAACGACTAAAGTACAATCCGGAAGACTGAACCTTTACAAATACTATAGAATCATCTGAATAATGTTTCTGCAAATTCGGATCCTACAAAATGTTACTGAATACCATAAAACAACGGTAAATTAACACCTCTAGTAATCATAGGGTAAAACAAAGATGCAGAACAAATTTGGCTAGTTTCCATTTAACAAGCAGAAAAGCTACCAGACTGAAAGCGAGACATGATTGACATTGTCTCAGATTTAGTCTGCATTAAAACGTCCAACACATCCAACTTTACTGAGTTCAGTTTGTTGTGACGTTTGAAAATTTGTTAACTAGAGGCCTGTTGTATTTCTTTAGTGAGTATATTTTTATACCAAGTTTACAAGTATGGGAGTTTATACATTCACGAGAAGCATCGTGAAGTTAATTTTAGTATGTGTTGCATTAGTGTTTAGGAGTAGTTGAAGATGGTAGGGGAAGTTTTTGTCTAATATGATCAGTTACTTTGAATTAACATGAAGGAAGAATAAACTGCCTTTTATCCCACTTTGGTAAATAATTCGACATCTCATACGTATTTTTAAATAAATTTCTGAATCTCATATCGCAATATCTGTAAGCTGCCGAATGAATGCAGAATTTTATTCCTTTTCATTCGGTAATATCTATTCATTTGACCAAATAAATGTTTTTGAAGAGAAATCTTAGGTACCGTCCATAAAGAAAAATATGAAGCAGAAGTTTATTTCAAAAATAATTTACGCAGTATTGTACACTGAATTATTCCCGAAAATGCAGTTTGTGGAAGGACTATTTTACATGCAACAATTTGAAAGACCATAAGTAGACTTCGCTTTTCAAGACGTTTGTCACATCGAATGTCTCAATAAAATGAAGCAGTTATTTGTTTATCTTTCCATGAAGTAAGATTTGACTACCCATATATATGTATATATATATATATATATATAAAATTTCAATTACACCATTGGAGACACACTTTTATTGATATATTTTAGTCTAACCTTGAAAAGAGCGATTAGATCAGTTATATAATATTTTCTACAGCACTTAATTGCTGCATTACACTCGCCAATTAATATGTTTTCCAAATTTCGCACTTATTATTAAATTACACAAGTTTGTAGTGAGTGTACACTGGCAAAATATATGCAGCCCAGGGGCCTAAGTTTGAAGCAAAAACCACGAATTAAAATAGTTTATTGTGTCGTTCTTGTTACCATGACTTCATTCACTGCTTATAAGCTATGATCATCGAGAAAAAGTTCAGAAAGTTTACATCCGTAGTATATTCCTTCTTAAATTTCTGTCTAACTTTGCCTTATGTCTTATAGTAGTTAGGGAGTATTCTCAATAAGCAAATGTGTATCAGTATTCCGAAAATTCAGAGTATATTCTCGATAAGTGTCGTTGCATTCATAGTTTCGCCTATCCACGTCTTGACGTCACCATCAACTCAATATTATTTCATGTTTCAGCAGTTCAATACGT